CTTTAATCTATTTATGCAAAATAGCTCGAAGTTTTGATTGAAAGAGTGGAGCAAGAAATTATTTTTTTTAATTGTGACACCCAAAAAATGCACCGTGCGACAGTAGATATAGATAGTAGATAGTTTAATGATAATAATGCTAACTCTTATGATATCTTTAACCCCACGGCGTGAAACATTTGATAAGGGTAACAAGGAAATATAACAATGTACATCCATATGGCACGTTTATGAAATGTGATAAGAAGTTAGAAGAATGATAATCTACTCGTACTTTAAAATCAAGATGAACCAGAAATCACAAGCCAATGACATAAAAAACAAGTGTGTAATAAGCTATTTAAACGTAATTTACATGGTTAAATGAGACTTCAGAGACGACTGAGCAAAATTTACTTAGGCTTAATATAAAATACTCAAAGGTCCTCACTCTAAACTTCCACATACCGATTGACTGATCAAAAGTTCAAAACGCAATAATCGATGAAAGTATACACCATACAGTGCTGATCAGAAAGACCCGGAATTTTTTTCACAATTAATCAGACGACTTTAAAATTAAAAATTTCCTGATATAAATGTAAAATCGCCCGATTAACTGTCAATTAATCGGGTCTTTCTGATTATGACTTTATCTTTATTGTATCCCAAATTCATTCAAAATTATGAAAAAATAAGATTTACCGACATAGGGACGTAGGGTAAAACAACTCAGGGTCAAACGAAAAAAACCGTCAAAAACGCGACGAAGGATAAACCGACAAAGGGTCAAAATGATAAAAATATTTATTTTAATTTCAAGCACAGAAAATCAGAATGTTCAAAAAGTAGAATTTTCCATTTTAAATGTTACATTACGTTTAGTATTTTATCCTTTATTTTAAATTATCCAACTTTTTGTTTAAAGAAGTTTACCGGCAATAAAATATAAATTAGTTTACAATTCTTTATCCTATGATTTATGTAAAATATAGTTGGAGACGAAAAATTACAGAAGATTACTTTTTAACACTCAAATTGTATTTTTCGTATCTGCTATCAAAAAGAATTTTAGTTTGTTTTGTCGTTAATGGTGGATTTGCTCAACTTTTAAGTTAGCAACATTTTGATGAGGCAAATTTAACAATCTTGACCGGCACAAACATTCCCTCGAGTCATTTGGGCTTGATTGGTTTAGCTGTTCTGGTGTTTATTGGATACAAACAGACAAACTGACAAGGCAAATATATTAGTTGCAAAATTAATTAAAAGTGTGTAACAAACACACCTTGTTTGTCTAACAAATTTATTGAATATTAACAAATTTCTGAAGGCATATTTTCTTAGATGCAGAATTAAGGGATAGTGCACCTTCTCTCCTTCTAAATTTAATCAATAAACAAACAATTTTTTTTACTGTTACACAGCAAATGATTAAAAATATATTAAGTTATTAACATTCTATATCCTATAAGATTTGTCATTATAGTGTTTTTTTATGGTTACAAATTGGTTTTAAAACCGAACATTGTGTATTATTGTACCAATTACGAACACCCCACAGTACGAATTCTCACATCATTTTTTTAGTATTTTAAGAAACAGCACCACTTCCCTAAAAAAAGTTTTAACCATCAGACGCCCAATGGGAGATTTTTTAGCCTGTTGATTAATATTTATTATTTTTCGCATTTAACGCGCAAAGAAGACGATAGATTAAAAGCGATTTTTATTTCATCATATAACTTTTGGTCTGGACTACCCTAAAAACTATCATTCTAGGAGTTTCTAATTAGTAATTTCTCTTTAGCGATATGACTTCAAAAACTGACTTAAACTAGACAATATTAAAAACTAAATGATTTTTATTTACTTTTATGTAATAAATTATGTTTGAATCTGAAAAAGTTGTTTGCTTTCACGAAGAATCCGCCAAAATCCATGTACTGGCCTGACTGTACGAAGTTTTCATTTCTCTAGCTGCCGAGGTTAATATGAAAAATGTACTGCCACGACTCTTCGGCAACAAACCTTCCTTCTTCCAACCTCATTTTCTCTGCCTAGCCTCGAAAAACTCCCTTATTAATAGAGCCCTTTAATATTTTCTCCAGTCTTTTCATGCCCCTCACAAATAACAAGGCCTAGATACAGATAAATACATATTATAATAAAACACAGATTAGTATGTCATTCTCCATATAACATGTATGATCAATGATCATTGATCATTATCAGTGTTTTATACTGTTCAAAAACAATGAAATTTTTCCTCTGTTATTAAATTAATTCAAACTAGAGTGTTGCAAATGTAAAATTCATCATTTACTGCGTATTTTTTTCAGTGAAGCTGTCAATCAGAGCAAAGAAAATATATTTTTGCGTTATGCTCCTGCAAAAAATCAAAATATTTAATTTTTAGACTTGTCATTTATTAGTCTTTTTTATTATTAAATTTAAACTTATGCCAAAACAAACATATTGCTTTGTATATATACTATGTAAATTTGTATTCCTCGATAATTATACAATAATCCAATTTTGAATTCAAGAATTCTTGTTATTGCCTTTTTACCAACATAACCGACCTATGATTCCCCCATCAGAGGGAAGTTAAGTTACTTTACGTCCCTTGAGACAGACAATTAAGTAAAATAACAACCCGCTCTGTGAAGTTTTCGTAAAATTTTCCTGCAAAACATACCTCGCTGCGCTCTGAATGTTTTATAGGCAAAATTGGTCTTGGGAACCCTTGGTAAAGTAAACTTCCCTTAATTTCCCTCTAAAGTATATTGTAAATAATTATTATTGTATCCAGAGCAAATTAGATTCCCCAACTTAGTCTAGCTTAGCTCAGTTCATCTTATATGTATCGAATAAAATGTGCTGCACCATAAATTACAAGTTTATGATTAAAAAGTTAAAGCGAATTTTTAATGAACGGACCTATACATTGAACTTTGAAGACATAATTTTTACACACCCACAATTTTTTCTGCAAATATTTCATCAGAAGTCTAAAACAATACTATAAAAATCTTGATGTAAAATAAAACATGAATCAGCTGTTTAGGACGTTCTGGTAAAAATTTAAGGATCATGTAAATTATTCCGCCAATTTAAAATTTGCCGCATCAGTATTTATTCATTCAAGTGAAAATTGATGAGTATTATTTTGACCCGGTAAGAACCCAGAGCGATTAATTTAATTTTATAGATTTCTAATACTGAGTGTAATTTTCATGAATTTTTGAAACTTCATGAACCCAGAGGACAGATTTACTTCACAGCTCAAACTTAAAAATTTCATTACATATTTTAACATGTGCAATACGTCTAAATCTCTCAATCTAAAATGTCCTTACTTGAAAAAAGGCATAAAAACAACATATTTAAATGATTCATTTGTGTTTTGTTACAACCCGAAAACAAGATCAGTACGATATTATACTTTTTATATAAGGTTCATGTTCAGCTACTTCAGCTACTTCTATAACACACTTGAATTGTATTGGAAATCGTAGGAAGGAATAGAAATGTTGAGGGTAATTAAGCTTACTGAGAGTAATTACCTTACATAAATAAATAACCATAATTAATTGTTGATTTAATATTCCGACAGCTCGACCAAATATGATAAACGTAGCAATTAGAAAATAATAAGACCGTGACTAATGAGATAGGTTGTGGAATAAAAGAATAAATGGGGAATTTTTTCCTCGTTATAAAGAAAATTTGTACTCACTATTTTACTCACCAGCTTTTACTCAATAGTTTACTTACATGCAGTTTACTAACCAGATTACTCACCAGTTTACTAAATACATTTCTCATCATTTTAGTCACCAGTTGACTCACCAGTTCGCTCACAAGTTTATTCACCAGTTTACTCACCAGTTTACTCACCAGTTTACTCATCCATTTACTCACCAGTTTACTCACCAGTTTACTCACCATTTACTCACCAGTTTACTCATCAGTTTACTCACCAGTTTACTCACCAGTTTACTCACCAGTTTACTCACCAGTTTACTCAACAGTTTACTCACCAGTTTACTCACAAGTTTACTCACAAGTTTACTCATCAGTAACCTCAACAGTAAGTTTGCTCACCAGTTATATAGTTAATAGTTTGATGACTTCTTAATTTCAACAAGTGATTGATTTTATACTTGTATCTTTTTTTGTCATTTTGAGCGTATTTTTTTCTATTTTTCAGATTAGTAGTGATTAAAGAAAATGAAATTACCAAAGAGAATAGAATATGTATTAGAGTGGAATTTAAACAATCCTTCGGTATGAATTTTGTCAGTCCCTTTCAGCCTGAAAGGGAGTTCAAAGTGTACAAATCATGTAAATGTTCACAAATTATATGCAGTATAGTACATTAATACAGTATGTTCCCTAGACTATCCATTTCAATTTTGAATTTTTTAAAGCTGTTAAATAAACTTTATAAAATGAATTAGGTGAATAAAAAACATCATTTAATTTATAGTTATTACGGAAAATGATCGTTTGTAAATTGAAAGGCATAGAGTCCATGTGAAATGATCATTAGTCAATTATGAAACCAGCCTATTTCATAATTTGGTTTTCTTTTAATATTAATTTTAGATTTTCTATAAAATGATGTTCCAGGGCCCAAAAGGGTATACAGCGCAAATATGTGATGTAAACCTGCAGTTAGCAGTATGGAAACAGTTTAACAAAATGGGCGTTTTACACTTTTTTCTAGTAAATTCCACTCTAATATATATTCTATTCTCTTTGGAAATTACTCTAAATAGTAGACAAATTAAAATAGAATCACTAAACATCCTCTAATTACGCAATTACAGTAACTCGTAATTTAAGAATATTCATTTAATAACTAAATGAACTTATTTCACCACCGAGTTTAATTAATTTGAGCTGCGTCTAAAATCCGCCAAAAAACCGGTTTCAATCGAGCGCAGACTTAAATCTTAAAACATTGAATACAATTTTAAGTGGAGATTACCATATTTGAGCCGCGTCTTAAATTAAAGACCGCGGCACAAATTATTTAAATTCGGCCTCAGATTATGCATGACAAATATCTTTAAAGAGGTTTAATGTTATCTAGAGAACTTTTTTGTTTTTTAGATTTAGTTGGTTCTTTAGAGGAAAACCTTCCTAAAATTTAGATCCTTCGATCAATGCAATGTCATGGCTTGAAATCTACTAACCCTTGTGAAGACTGAAACCTTCTAATATGTCTTCACAGAAAAACGGAGCGGTGGCTTTCATGAACCCCGAAGAAACAGAAACCCAAGAAACTCAGTTTAGGAAAAGCTACAGTTTAATCGAAATAAAGCATTAATTTCGACATTGTAAACCATTGATGAAAAAATCTGGTGTTTTCTGTTCAATATAGAAATACACCTCCCCCCCCCTTGTGTCGCACTATGCACTTGAACAAGGCAATAGGAAAAGGTCAAATATCTCCTCTAGTTTTGATTTTACGCACAAATATATAAGAAAACTTATTCGGTTACATATTAGAAACTCAAAACATGTTCGTTCCTTCTCAATTGCTTTATTTTAATAGGAGTTGTGATTAAAACAATATATCACAAAATTTTCATAGATATATTAATACTTTTGTTTTTAGGTTTTAATGTGTCAACAACAACAAAATTGTCGCAATCTGAACAAAATTCTACATATTTCAAAAAGTATTAAAAGCACGATAAAGGCAGACCCATTTTGGAAATGTCAGGACTAGGATTAGTTTGTGATCAACAAATCTAGAATTATGCTTCTGAAATTACGTTTACGGACTGTTATGTATTGGGGGACACCCTTTATAAAGAAATTACAATTCATTTAAATTGTTTGCTTTTTGGTCGATAGAACCAGAAATGAGTCAGAAACGTGCAGTTCAGGTAGATCTCTTAACTGTTTTAAGAAAATCTAAAACCTTTGGAAATTTAGGAGAATTTGAAGAGGTTTTTGCTATAAATGCATGATTATTTAACGCAAAAGGAAATGTTTATTCAACATTACACAAACATGCTAATTTTCAATTTATTTTCCTGAGCAAATCAAAAGCATTGAAATGGTAATTGATTATGTTGAAAACTGCCACTGTTAATTAAATGACTTGCAATCATCTTTATATAAATTTGGCTTGTCTGGGCGTCTGTTTGTTTGTTTGTATCCAATAAACGCCAACGGCTGAACCGATCGAGCCCAAATTTTTTGTGTGATTACACGTGACCCCAGGGAAGGTTTATGAATGATCAAAATTTTAAAAATTTGTGATTAAAAGTTTTTTTATTTTTGTAAAATTTTGTAAAATTTGAAAATCCGCGAATACAATTCGATTTCCTATAAATTTTCAAAATCCACGAAATTGTTTCATAAAATCCACGAATTTTTTTTTTTAACTGTACACAAAGAGAACATGTTGACAATTTAAATGAAAAAGCCTATCTTTTATTAATTTACTAAACACAACCAAGGTGTAACCGCCTGTAGTGTACATTATTGTGTTTTATTACTAATAGAGTCCCAGATTTACACAAAGGGTCAATAATAGTATACAATTGTTTAACTTAGTGTGTAATACATTCATACGTTTTACAATACATACATACTTTGAAATGCAGTTTCTGTGTTACCTGAACATAGGGTTTCCACGAAAGAGCGATATTTTTGCAAATTTTTGCGCATGTTTTGGGTTTCAAGTGGAACAGCTTTTATGCGTTATTGAGCAAGAATTTTGCGCACTTAAATAGTTTTTGCGGAAATTGCGAAAATCTCATAGAATGTTTGCTAAAATGACGATCTCAAAGAGAAAAAAATTATAGGGTCTTTTTGTATTGCCTTCATGATGATATTATTTGTAGAGACTTACGAGGTATTATTTATTAATTATTGTGATAAAAACAATATGACAAGATGTAGATTAAAAGGCCAAATATTTTAGGCTGGTCTCGCATAACTAATTAAAATTGAAGACGATGTTTGGCTATTTTCAACAATCATGATAAGAGAGACACACTGTACATTTACTCTACCCTCACTCAGATATTTACATTTAAAACCAATGATTTTGGGACACACATTGTTTGAACAGGAATTCGAAACAAATAAAGACAAAAAAGTCAAAAAATCAAAGTCTAAAATTAAGATTAAAAAAGAAATGGTCGCAAACATGACAGAAAACACTTCAAACTGCAGTAAGTCTTCATTGACATCGGGATGAAGCCTTAACACGTATACTATGCTATGTGTAAGAAAAGTATTACTCGCCTCAAGCTACAATTTTCTCATTTTTATATGTTTGCAACCTGATGGTCACAGTGAACCAAATGTACATCTCACAAAAAACATTTGTCAGGATTTTTTCCAAATACTCTTTATTATACTAAAGTATAAAAACAAGCGCTTTGAATTATAGTTTAAAGTTATAAATTACAGTTATAGTAAAAGTCTAGGTGCTACAGAAAGTATGAATAAGAACCCCTAAGGCCAAGGCGTTGCGACACAATCTTATAAATTATACTAATAAAAAAAATGTCTGAATGTTTGTGAGGCTTTGATATTTTAAGTTTTGACAACTGACCGAATGCATATGATTTAAATATAAAAGGTCTATGTCATCAGGTTGCAAAGTATTTAGAGTTTTAGGCAAGTATTCAGTTCATTTTTTATTATAAGCAAATCTCATATATAGATAAATATTTATACAGTGTGCACCTTTAATAAACCTGTTTTTTTCTGTGTTCTTTTTTGCAAAAAAAAGCAGCGCAATGAAAGCAAAAATTCAAGTTTCCTTTCGCAAAAGTTTTGCGAATGAAACCTCTACCCGAACCCTCCCCATTCTTACCTAATTAATCACTGCCAATTTAATTTTCAAGAGACCCTCGAGATTTTAAGAGTGCACTTTAATTTTAGATTTTCTATATAAACTTTAAAGAGATAGGCATGAATGTTGGAAAATAGATGAATAAACTCGGAATTTTTAAGGAAGTTCAAAGAAAGAGAAAGGATGTGTAAGACATTTTCGGAAACAAATTGTCCAAGAAAAAAGTTTAAACACCTAATTTAAGATCCACATGACAGGACGAGAAATTAGGGAGTGTCCATGTTTGCTATTTTCAGTATCCATATATATATGGGAATGAGAAACTTATTTTTGCCACAAATTTTTATTTTCTATTACCTTCAATCTATGACTTTTTGATCTAGCAGGCCGATAAATAGTTTGAAATATCAATAATTTACGAGTTTGAGGCGAGTAATTGATTTTACTTATTTTACAGTGGATATCGTAAGATTCCAGGAAATGTAAGGTTCGAATGTGAAATGCGCAATTTTAATCTGCGGGGGGTGGAGTACGGGTTAGCGGTCAAATAGTAAAACTTCAAACATATTGAAATAGTCTATTACTATCTGCTGAAGAATCAAGATAAGGTCACATTTGATAAAATGGAAAAACATTTAACATCAATGCTAAAATAAAAGCTGGTTAAAGTTTATATTTGTATGATTATGTGAATTTCAAGCTTTGAGTTTCTCAACCTTTACTTCGTTCAAGGAATTGACAGCAAAACTATATTCATGCAACATCATTATCTCGTTGCTTAAAATTAATTACAATAATGTAATAATAGCTTGGGAACCCAGTTTTCCCTGGAAACTAAACTTTCTCTTTAAAAGTCAGTTCAATCAATTTTTAAATCAAACAAATATGTAATAACATTTTCGTAGTTCTAATAAGTTTCCCAATCAAAATTCGACATAAAAACAAACAAATACTTTGTATTTTTAATTTTATGTATGGCATCTATAGCCAGTAAAATACTCAGAGACGTGTAAAAATACGATTTAACCGCTTTTGTATAAAGGCGCAAGGTCTGTTATTAAACATTTAAGGATTTTTTACTTTAAAAGTTCACCACAACTTATCAGAATACAAAATTGTATTGTCGATACGTTTACGATATGCAAAAATTTTTCACTGATAAAAATGTTAACAAACACGATTTTTGGTCAGAGTAGAAGTTTTGAATGGTAAAGCAAGCTTGTCATGCATGCAATTTTGAAAAAGAATATACATTTCAGATTCTAGTTAATTTTAAAATTTTAGCAATAACTTTCAAATACAAAAATAAACCCTTACATTTTAGGACGTTAAGGAGTATGAAACGAAATGTATGTTATACGTCCGCGTACTTAAAATAAAAATATTCAAAACTTATAATTTTTAGAATATTAAAAAAAATTGCAAACCTATATACACCATTTTATGTAGTTAAAAAATGTTAGTAAAAAAAATATATCATTTTTTCACTTCAGGTTTTCCTGGGTGTCAAAGTGATATCAATCGAAACAAAACAAGAGTTAGGAAAGAAACAGATAAAATTCTTGAGAGTGAGTGCAGTGCGTTCAACGGAGAAGAGTTTAAAACACGCAGTCAGATCATTCTCAAGATGATGTACTTTTTTCAAGTTTTGCCATTTTATCTTCTCCAGTTCTGTTCTGGAATGAGCGTAGGTAAAAATTATAAAAGTCCAGCAACACATTTAAAAGGAAATGCGTTTTTCCACAAACTCTAATTTGTTAACCCCTTATATTTGCAACAAAATATCGTAAGTTTGAAAATTCAAAAGTTTAAAACCTTAAGTTGCAAAGATATAGAGATGAGAAAATTTTATTTTGTGGCAAAAACTCTGGTCCTTATTGTGCTAATTTCAATATACGGTTAACCATTTATTTCGATAACATACAGGGTGTCCCAATAAACATGGGAATTCAGTGACGATTTCGATATCGTCTTTTTAAATAATTCTGTGCTTTAGGAAAGTGATACCTACTAAGAAAGCTGTAATCTGTAAGAGTTTCGTCTGCTATGTTCACATTTTGTTTGTTTTTGTTTTGACAGAGTAAACTTGTCCGTCTTCACTGTTCATCTTGCGGAGACAATAGATACATCTTTACAGTCTTTTACCCTTTTCATAAAATAAACTCTAGCAGACACAATAATATTATGGCTTTTGAAATAAGGTATTACAGTACTAATTCATAACAAAGACGATATCCAATTCGTCTCTGAATTCCCATGTTTTTGGGACACCCTGTAGTACCCCTTCTCAATGATAAAATTGACTTTTGGTGTTGAACATTTTTGGCAATTCAATTGTTTGACCTGAGCTGAAAACTCTTTTATTTACATACCCTTGATCCCGATTGCTTAATCTCTATATCCACTTTGAACAATTTTGATTTTCTGCTTAATCCTCTCTTTTGGATAGCCCTGCTGGGTTCCAGCCAATGATTGATTTATTTCATGGGGTTTTTTCTTTTATCTCTTGTACGCCTTAGCAGAGGGACAATCTGTAAAAATGACTTTACGTCAATATTTTGGAAACTCCAAGGACAGAATTTTGCATAATCTAAATTGTACTAATTGTTTAAAAGCGACCAACCTCCAAGTTTTTTTTTAATTATTACCATGAAATTTTTGTCACTTACCTTTCGGTAAAATAAGAACTACATTACACTGATAGAAAGGGCTGTTAAGGACTTTATATTGCCCAATATTTCAATAAAGGACAACCTGGCTTTTAAATGATTTTCAAGATCAATATTAAATATAAACAAAAGAACAATTTTTTATTTTTATTTTTATGTGAATCTTAAAGGTTTCTAGCAAATACGATTTAAATTGTTTTCCAATCTAAAAAACAATAATTTTTCAGATCTAATTGTCAAATTATCGGTAAAATAAAAATTGAGAAAACTACCTTAAAATATTTTCCTTCGCTTTTTAAATGACAAATAAGTAGTTATACGAAATTTAATAGAATTAACAAGATATTCTGTTAGATGATTGTAATAACCTGAAAACGTTATAATATCCTAAATATTTTGAAAATTGTCTTCTATCATGAAATCAATTGCTACAACGTGAATTTTAAATTATTTCCCAGAACAAAACTTGTAAAAAAAAGGCTTAATAAATTTACGCATATTTTTTCAATCGCATTTTTTATTATCTGTAAGCAATGGCAAATCTATTAAGTATATAAAAAATAATGTTGTTTGCATTTGCATTTAGGTAGACATATCACAAACTTTCTTTAATCTTTGTACTTATTATATTATGCTTCAGAGAAACAGAAAATAATATTATAGGTTACCCGAGTATATTAGTTCCTCAGCTAATAGCTTCAAATTCTACAGGTTCTATTTTAATGTCCTCTTTTTATTACTAAATTAATATTTTTTATAGAAATGTAAAAGCTTTTTATTGTTTTGTTTTTTTGCACCGTAGACAAAAGCTTGAGAACTGATGTCGTAAATTTGGTGAAATATCGTTTGCACTAATGATTAATCGTATTAACTAACTAAAGTTCATTTGCACTATAGTGCAAAGAACACTTAATTGTTCAATCAAACTAAAATCCGCGTAGAAGAATTTTAGTGCATGTCGAGAACTATCTTTTTAAATTCAAGCCGAATTCGGCTCATTTTACTATTTTGCTCCATTAAACATATTTTAGTAGGAATGAACAAAAAATGTTCAATTTTACTAAAGTTAAAACTGTGGGTAAAAACGAAGTTAGTACAAATGAACATATTTAAGTGCGAATGAACAAAAAAAGTTTAATCGAACTAAAATTTAAAATTTCACCATTTTCACATTAAACCTAATTAGTACAAATGAATATATTTTGGTGAAAATGAACAAAAAAAATGTTCAATCGAACTAAAATTTAAAAATTCACCATGTTGCCTTAAATTATAATTAGTGCACTGATATTAACAGAAAAACATTTGTCCGTTTGAAAAAAATTTTTGTTGGACATGTTCATTTGCACAAATGTACAATTGCTCTAATATTTGCAGAAAAAAATTTGACTAATTTTTTGCGAGAAATGATTATTTGCACTAATGTTTAATTTCACTATTATTAGATGAAATAAGTATTCTAGATCAATTGCACTACGATCATTTGTATTAAATATTTCTGGCGGGAAAATAAAATGTTATTCCAATTTAACAAGATAAAGCTCGATTTGTGTTCATTTGCACTAATGTTCAATCGTAATACAAACCTGTTTCTGATCAGCTGACTTTAGTGCAAATATACGTTAGTGCAAATGATATATCATCTTAAATTTAGTGTAAATATATGAGATTATAACCTTCAAACCACAGAGCGCTTTATTTGATCTTTCTCGGTTTGAAATTCTGCATTTTTTGTGGTCAACCTTATAAGAAAGTCCTTAATTTAATTGTGAATTGTCTTTTTCACAGAAAAAAATATAAAATTTTTATAAATGCGGTTTTAGAACTTTTAACAAATAAATAAAGTTTTTATGTTTTGTAGGATTGATATTAGATGATTCAAGTAAGGGTTGGATAGTCAGTCTGGATTATGTGATGACAGCATTGATTGCCCTTATATCTGGCCAGCTTCAGGTCTTCATTCTTTTTTCTTGTCTTCCTCCTTATTAACCTGTTACTAGTGTTATTATATGATGATGGTTATGTAATGCAAGAATTGAGAAAATAACGAAGAAAACTATAATGAAAAATTTCTAAGGAAAACTAATTAGCTAAATGAATTGCTTCATGTCCTGGAGCCTAAAACCTCTCTTAGGCCATTATTTTTACTTGGATACTTGTCATAGTGTGATCCACCCTAATCAGTCTTTACAAATTAAAATAATGTGTTTATAATGATGGAATTAAATAAAATTATTCCATTTCTTATTACAATATCGAAAAATATACTCTCTACAAAAAAAGGATGTGAACTTTAAAAAAGTTTCATGTGAATTTAGAACCAAGATATTGTCAAGTCTTGGGAAAAAAATAAATATTGCATTAAATGTACAATTACATTTTTATTTATTCTTTTTTCCTATATTATTTGTATTCACTTAGAACCAAAAGAAACTAATCATTGGGCTAATGTACATAAACATTAAACATATTATGCTACAATAAAGTATTTAGTTCTATTAATTAACTTGGGGAAAAAGTAATAGTTTATCACTATGTGTTATCATACCTTTTTGTAATAAAACAAATTGATAAAAAAAAACAAGTTCAAATTAGTTTACAGAACTCCCTCACACTCACGCCGCGGATTTAACTGTTCGGTCTTTGTCCCGGAAAGCTGTGAATTTTATCACAATTTGACATATTTAAAATACATTTTTCACATGCTGGCCTTTTTAGTTGGCAAATGCGTCTTATATGAATAAATATAAAAAAGATAACTCTATAAATTTAATGATTGTTAAAGTAAGGAATAAAACGTGATTGAGTTCAAATTGAAAAAATTGTAATATAGAAATCAATCTTTTAGTCATTTGATTAATTTGTTCTCCCAAATCAGTTTGTTCTACTTTAGACGATGTTTGGACCAAAGAAGACTAGCTTACTCGCATGTTTTCCTATCTGCTTGTCTTGGTTTCTAATGGCTGTAGCTCCAAACATGCCGACCATTTTAACAAGCAGGTAATCATATTTTCATTGTAACTCTAAGCGTGCTTGCCTTAATTGATAGTCTTATATATTTCTAACCACTGTTTGAAGAAAAGTACGCAAACAGAAGTCATATAATCCATTCTCAAAACCCCCCAAACCTTGATTTAGCAGAACACGACAACTTGGTCTCCAGCCCTTTTTCCCTTGTAAAAAATCTTTTGGTAGCAGTCGAAATGAATTATGAACCGATTTTAAAACTACTTTCAGATTTACTCTAGTTTGTCAAAAACCAAAAGTAGCAGCAATATACTAAAACTGCGCCTAAAAAGTAAAAAAAATTGTTTGCCCTCTCGCTACGAGGAGGAAATGACCCCTTTCTCAAGAAAACTTGTCAACGTCAGGCATTAGGTGGTAAACCAATGAGCCAAGAGCCACCAACCAGATTTTTGTAATTCGGATTTCCACAATTATACAAAGGAAGTATGGATTGAATAGTAAATACGCAATCACAGAAATTTGAAAAAGAGCAATTTCGTGTTTATAATTCCGTGTTTATAATTCCGTGTTTATAATTCCGTGTTTTATAAAGGCCGGAAAATTGGTAAAAATTCATTAAGAAAGATTTAAAAAATTATAAACATTAGTTCACCTTACAAGTTATAATACTCCAGTTGAGCCTTTGTTGAATCGACCGCTACTTGATTTATGAATATTCAGTATATAGCCATCATCAGCATTCTTTTGTTATTCTTCTAATTCCTTTACTGCGAGTAAGTTAGTTATGAATTATTCACAATTATTGGGAAAGAAAGACTAAAACGGAAACCACGTTGACATTTTACAGATCGATTATTACCAAGCATGAGATAATCTCTCTTTTATCATGGAATCTAATGGTAAAAATGTTCATGAAAGATATAATTTTCAAAATTGTTTGCCCTCTCGCTACGAGGAGGAAATGACTCCCCTCTCAAGAAAACTTGTCAACGTCAGGCATTAGGGGGTAAACCAATGAGCCAAGAGCCACCAACCAGATTTTTGTAATTCGGATTTCCACAATTATACAAAGGAAGTATGGATTGAATAGTAAATACGCAATCACAGAAATTTGAAAAAGAGCAATTTCGTGTTTATAATTCCGTGTTTATAATTCCGTGTTTATAATTCCGTGTTTATAAAGGCCGGAAAATTGGTAAAAATTCATTAAGAAAGATTTAAAAAATTATAAACATTAGTTCACCTTACAAGTTATAATACTCCAGTTGAGCCTTTGTTGAATCGACCGCTACTTGATTTATGAATATTCAGTATGTAGCCATCAAAAGTTTCCATACATCCACTTCAGCATTCTTTTGTTATTCTTCTAATTCCTTTACTGCGAGTAAGTTAGTTATGAATTATTCACAATTATTGGGAAAGAAAGACTAAAACGGAAATCACGTTGACATTTTACAGATCTATTATTACCAAGCATGAGATAATCTCTCTTTTATCATGGAATCTAATGGTAAAAATGTTCATGAAAGATATAATTTTCAAAAGTTCTCATGTTTAAGACAATATCTGGGTCTTCATGTCTCGGGGTAGGAACTGGTTCTGGGTGGGTTTATTTGGCGTCTCAGACTCTCAGATCAAAAGTCAACTGATTCTCGGTTTTCAATAACTGTCCTCTCTCTGGATTTCTGCTTTGACCTCTTTCTTTCTTTTTAATTACATGCGTCCCAAGAAAAATGACAGTTGGTGAATGTTTTGAATGCCTTCTTCCAAATATTTTATTAGAAAATAGATGAAGGGCCCGGCGTTGCCAGTGGAAAAAAAATAATTTTAAAAAATAAAAAATGTCAGCCCAATCGGTCCAGCCGTTTAACCGGCTATACGCAACACGTATGTTTTAGAATGTCTTGTTTTATTATATAGATTAAAGACTTTTCGCAATTTTTTTCGTTAACACAATCTTTTAATTAAATTTATTTTACTTTGAAATCAATTTTACTATAAAATGACTGTCATGCTATATTTATTGTTATTCTCTTTTGTATCAAAGAACTTAACAAATTTAGGAAGAAGACATTTAAAACTATTCACCAACTGTCATGCTTTCTGGGACACCTGTAGTTCCGATTGCAGCTTCCATTAGTTCTGCCAGCATTCTTGAATCTTTAGTTTTTTAGTTTTTCTTGAATACGCATTTATGTTATGAAAATTTTAAAAATATTTTTGCACACTTGAATTTTCTGGATCATGGGATTTTCAAAAATTTACAAGTTGACATATTTCAATCAAAACTTTGTCTTCTCGTCATCCAGGAAACAGTTAATCTACTGTTGTGAGGGGTAGTTATATCTTTAACCAAGAGACAATTGTATTTCCCATATGCAGTGCTGGGTCAAAAAAGAATTTTTGAGTGTAAAATCTTTTGTAACACCTTATTGTTGATGATTTCCCTGTTAAAATTTAAACTTCGTTTTACCCCCCTCTACAGCGGCTAGAATCATGACTGAGTCAGATTTGTATATAGACTTAAAAGCTCAATATTTTACAGGTTACAAACTTCTTACAGTGGGCCAGGGGTTGTTTTTTACCATTGTTCTTTAGCACAAGAGATTGTCCTATTTCACCATTTGTCAGCCTAGGGCCTGTAAATAAGTTTCTAGTGGTCCCCCCGGACACCCTGTGGTCCCTTGACAGCCGGCAATTGGGCCACTCTGTTTGGGTCTTAATCTTGGGTGTACCCTTTCCTCACAGGGCCGCAGAGATAGCTCATATTGGTCTGCCAATGTGACAAATATGTATAGCTCAATATTATTGCCATTATCCAGTAAAGTTTTAACAGTGTAAACCAATTACTTACGGCAGGAGAGCTGCTGAAATATTTCTTATATTTTGAGCCCGCAAGCCAATAGTACATGGCTAGTAAATGGCGCGCAAAATTTCAAATTTATCGACTAAATATACGCGACTATGATTGGTTGAATTTTAAACGCTTCTCAGGATACAATTACAAGATAAAGTTAGTCTCGATATTAAGAAAAAGAGAGTATCACGCCTTAATCTCGATATCCACCATTCTGAAGTTTTCAGCTCAGCTGTCATTCATCCAATGGCATGATTGGGTTCAAGATCGGTTCTTGAAATCAGGGACCTCTTGGCTTGATGTAGCAACTAAATAATTGTCTGGTTTTTTTGCTCCATTATTTGCTATTTACACTATCTACAGTATCCTTGCTTGGAACAATAAATGCATATAGTTTTTATTCCTTTGACAAGTTATTATCTTTTTTCAACTCAAACAACCGGATGAGAAAAAGTATTTATAAAACAATTTAGATAGATAAATAACTTTTATTGCAATTTATAGGTTCATATTTTTTCAACTTGAGATCAGTAAAGAAATGTTATGATAAAAAAAGAAAGAGAAATTTTTTTTTTTTAACTCTGAAGAAAATGCATTGTAGAAGTATGTGAAAGATGAGGAAGGGAGAGAAAATGAATTTTCTTTTTATGTTATTGCAGGGCATTCAATTAAAGTTAAATTGAATGTTTGCATAATCTTCAAGGCATTACAGTATCCCCATTTATCACAAGAATATTGTGCTGGCTGGAGAAAAGATCAAAGTTTTGATTTATTTCACATTTAAGCGAAATTTCGCGAAAAAGTTTGACAAATACGAACGAAAATTTTCGCATTTTTTCGCAAAAGTTTTCAACTTAGTTCGCTAGAAACCCTAGTAGTAACGAGTAACATTTCCACTATCAATATGTTTTGAATGCTAAATCCAGTTCATAAAACATTTTGAACTATAAATTCATCTAAAGAAATTTAATATTTAAAAAAAAACCTTCAATCATTCTAATTTCCCCTACCACAAAACGCATAACTTTTCGACCAAATACATTTACAACAGGAAAAGATTAAATATCATATTTTATTTTATTATTTTTAGGTTTTATAAAAATAAATTAGAATTAATGTTAAAAAATAATGGGTATCTTTGTGAATCTGACATTCCACTTTTTTAAATTGATAGGCTACTTGAAATAACATCAATAGTCCCACTCTCTATTAGTATTTTTTTTCATGATTATTACTCAGTATTCTATGAACTGCGATATTTGCTGTTAAATTAAGAACAATTCATTTTACATATGTTTAGAGCTTGCAAGCAGGAAATACAGAATTACAATATTGTTGAAAATCTGATATGAACCACCTCATATCTTACACATAAAATAAGATAGTATATCATCAACTTGAGAATGGGGGAAAAAATCCAAATACCATACAAACCGAACCATGATTGAATAAACAATGGCATTTTAGATTTTAAGCTAGAAAACTTCGATTTAATACCTTTAATCTTAAAACATAAATACCTTTTAAAATGTCGTCCCTCCACAACAACGGGAACTCATAAATCTTGTTATACTCTTTGGTCGTATAACTCTTATTTAGCTTAAAATTTTTAGAAGAAAATTAGAAGAAAAAATCATTTTTTCCTGCATTTTCCTAATTTTTTTAGAAATAGAATTTTCTTTGGAAACTTTGATCAAGATCGTAAATTTAAAAAAACTAGCATTTTCTTTTGATTATTGTTAATGTTTTAATACATTTCAGGAAACATTTTAATATTCCCCTCCTTTATTGTTAGTTTATACATATTTTAAATATTTGACAATTTTAGTGAAAAATGTTCTGATGTATGTTCATTGTTCAGGCTCCTTGTCGGTCTTGGTAACGGTATCTTGACATCATCAGTCTACATCGTTGAAGTTGTATCTCCGGATAACAGAGGCTCGGTTGTCATGGTTAGTTGCAAAGCATTATGATTTTTAAAGGCGTATTTTAGTATTATTGTGCCACTTTAAATCTTATTTTATTTCTCAGATATCTCCTCAGATTAATATTTGAATTAGATGTAGTACTCTGAAAGATTATATGAGTACAAGTCTACAACATGCCTCTGCAGTCTGCACCATTATCGGTCTAAATATATTAAGATATACACTTAATTAGATAAATAGTATGAAACATAGAAAAAATGCTTTTCAGGCCACTTTGCGCCGCTCTTTCTGGTATTAAAAAAAAGATTTATGTTGCTTTACTGTAAATATTTTTTTCGCATATCGCAAAACAATGGCACATAAAAGTTTCAAAGATTTTCCTATTTTTGAAATTGAAACATTTTCCAAATCGGATCTTACAAACTAACAAACCCTCCTTAGTGGGCAGATCTGTTCATAAATATCGGTATGCCTGTATGTCGTTCACAGTTTGATAGAAATTGATGAGAAATACATCTTATATTAGAAAAATTTAAATATATTAGGCTTTCAGGGCGCTTTGCACACCATCTTATATTTCAATTGTAAACATTTTCTTTTTTTGTATACATTGTAAAACGATTTCGTGGATTTTTAAATTTTAATGAAAATCGATTTCGTTGGAGGCTAATTTTTTTAATTTTAATAATCCATATATATAGATTAATCTGTTAACAACATAACCTTTTCTCTTAAAATTTCAGATCGAAACAGCATTTCGAAGTCTAGGCATGATTTTCGTCTATTTGATGGGAGCCCTAATGGACTGGCAAACACTAGGAAACAGACAATAAATATTTTTCCTCTACATAAGAATATATATTCTGATTTATTTTTCTCTTTCAATTATTGTCTTGTTCACGGAAAAAAACTTTCAGATTTATATTACTTCAGTATTCTAAAAGCTTTAAACTATAATAATTAATAGATCAATTTTACATATATGTACTTTGATAAAATATCTATTAGCACGTCCTTTTTTTTGATAATGAAATGGTAAAAGATCCGATTTAAGTTTTATACTTTTTATCCAAAAATTACATATTATCCATTTTGGGTGGCTTGCTTGAAAAGTTAGGTGAGTCAATTGATTTCTTAATTAAATCTGACATAAATGTTAAGTAATTCAAATAGCAGCATAGTATTTTCTGATTCTTAACTGTATAGTACATACGTATAGATTTTAAACACGTAATAACAATTGATTTACTTGTCTGAACTCTAGCCTGGATTGTGGTACCTATACCTATAGTTGCGCTAATATATGGACTTTTCATTCCTGAATCACCAATCTACCTTTCACAGGTTAATTTTTTTCCGGTTGAACCAAACATTTTTTAATTAAAGCTCTAATTCCGATTATTTAGAGCTGAACAATTTTTAGATCGAATTCATCTGAATACCCACTGTGAACACTTTTGATTTCTGCCCTTTTCCCTATTTTTAACCCTAACGCAATTCCGGCCATACATTAAATAAAAGCGATTAAATTCTAAAGTGGGCCAAACTCATAGCTGGATGACGACATTTTATGTCCCAAGTATTTAAAAATCATATATATATGCAGGGTGTCCCACGAAACATGACATTTGATAAATAGTTATTTTTAGTTAAACAAATCTTTTGCTTATTCATATTTTAATTTGAAATCAATTTTAATATAACATGACTCCATTATAATATTTTTATTGATCTTAGTATCAAACAACTGAACAAATAATGGAAAAAGAAATTCTAAACTATTCCTCAACTGTCATGTTTCGTGGGACACCCTGTATATAAATTGGTCTGTACGGAGTGCACAGAGGCCGGTCCTTCTATAGATAGTGGACGTGTAGTTCACGTACTTTGGAGGACGATAATTTGGCCGCTAGATGTCTCCCGTGAGTTATTCATGGACGGATAGAGTTTCTCACGCCATACGGTATCTGGATCATTAGCCGTGCATTTGCCGCACTGTGGCCATGATTTATTTGAGAAAAGGTGGCAGCACTAATCAAAGTAGCTTTCTGATTTCATTTCATAAATTGATTGCAGTGTCTTGTTTTTAAGATCCATTATGAATTTGAAATTAAATCAAAGTACAATTTCTTATGTTTAAGATAGTTTGCTGTGTTCAAATCAAATTCGTAATAAGCTTTCCCTTTTTTCCGTGGATAGGGGTCGCATATGTATGTATTTATGGTCGGACAATACTCGGACACTGATAACTCATGGAAGAACGCGTTTGAACAAAACACTATTTCTCCGTACATTTCACGACCAATATAGGAGACGTCAAGTTGTCGACCAATGTAATTTATGGAAGGAACGGCCTCAGTACAGCAGAAACTGGACTCCCTTTGTTTACAAACAAAGACTTAGAATTTGTAGTTGACTTAAATATAGATTAACGTAAATTAAGATTTCAGAAGTGAATTTTAGCCATTTTACTGCACAATAAATAATTTCATAAATAACAAAAAATTCCCGGCTGTTCAGGATTCTGCATACGCCACTCTAATTAGTTGAATTTTAGACACTTTCCCGGATACAAAATAAAAATTAAAATAATATTCAGATTAACAAAAAGAGGAGATCAAACATTGATCTCGATATCCACAATTCTAAAATTTTCCGCTTCGCTGGGACAACAAAAGTTTTTTAAGCAGGCCATTTTTAATGGATATGCAAAATTATCACTAAAAATAGTTTAACTTTTTTTAGCAAATGCTCTTTTTCAAATAACTTGATGTTTAGGTACAATATTAACTTTACTGTAATTCCCTCCAAATGTTAAAAAAAATTAAGTCTCATATATATCAAACAATAAATTCTGTTAGATTAAATAATACAAAAAAATGCTTATCCTTATATCTTAAGGATTAGCTAATTTGAGTTTGTGGTCACACGGGAACGCTAAATTTCTCACAAAGTTTTTTATAAATTTCGATAGTGTGTTAGAACACAAGTATACGTAGGTACATGATACGGTATTAGATAAATTGCAAAATTGTAATCCTAAAAATCTCTTTTATCGTATTTTTGCAATAGTTTTTAACAATAAATGGCAGATCTCTAAATTTCGAGACTTCCCTGAACAGTATTTTGAGATGTTGTAGCAAAAAACTAAAGCCCAAGGTCAACTGACTGAATGCCTGATTAGTAGATACTACCTGAAAAAATCATTTTTATTAGATTTTTTTCTTCTTTTGCATATCTTTAATGGGTTCCAGTTAGGATGCTCAATGGGGTTGACATAGCTTAAAAGGGTATAAGTTATACTCAAATCAAGGCTCTATTTCAACTGCATAAATGCTACGTGATAGCCAGAAACTCTGGAATAGGAAGTCGACTTTTAAACTTAAGTTATGACTTGAAATAGTCCAATGAACAAGAGGCACAGCATTTGTGCAGCGTAAACAGACCCATTTCACTTAATAAGTGATTTGAAAAGCTACTAGTGAATCTATTTGCTTTGTAATAACATCAAATGCACTTCCGCTTTGCTTTAATGACATCTTCCTATTCTACAGTTTACTAGTTATCACTGTAAAATATTAGTTATAAACATTACAAAATCAATACCAAAACATTTTGTTTTATATTTTGATATCCATCGTGCACATGTTTCAAGTGTAAATAAATTAAATTAGGCCTGGCCGGTAGTTGAATAGTTGGACATATATATTCAAGCCATTTGCTATCTCTTTGACCTTTAGAACTGAGATTTGAGAGGGTATGGGGCCGGATTCCACTTAGGAAGGGGGGAGGCGGATTAAGCCCAGGGAAGGGGTGGGGGAGCTGGATTTCATTAAAGTAGGTGGAGCCGGATTTCACCAAGGTAGGGGGGAAGCTGAATATCACCAAGGGTGGATAGGTGCCTGATTTCACAAAGTAAAGGGGGAGAAGGATTATACCAAGGAACGGGGGAGCCGAATTCCACAAAAAAAGATGGGAATCCTGATTCCTCCCAGTAGAGTAGAAAAGCCGGATTCCAAAAAGGAAAAATTGGGGCCGGGGGGGGGGGGAGCCGGATTCCACTTGAGAATTTCAAACGCCAATGCCTTTAGGGGCAGGTATTTCTTAAGCACTACAAATGTTTTACTTTAAGAGAAAAGGTTACACTCAGTTGGAGGATGATGCTCCCCCTCAGAACATATCTTGGAAGGAAACTAAGCACTCCCTCCATCATACAATCCAAATGTTTAAAAGAAGGTAATGGAAAATGATATAAGGAATCAGAAAGTAAGCATTAGCTAGCACGTCAATCCCCCATTGACATAAATTTTTTAGTTTTAACAATTAAAAAATTACAAAATACATTGTTTGGGGTAACACCGACTTTCTTGTCAGCCATTATAAGCATAATTGCAAAGGAATTGAGTCTTTGTAACAAAATCAAATATTTAAACCTCAATATCTTTAGAACTCGATGTTGTAAACCTTTGATATTTCAAACTCAGATAATTCGATCTAACAGATTTCATAGTTTGAAATATCTAAGGTCTACAACATTTGGTTCCAAAGATATAGTGATTAGAAAATCAGAGTTTGTAGCAAAGACTCAATTCCTTTGGAAGTATTTTATATATTGAAAGGTGGTTTAAACCGGAAAAAGTGAGCCCAATTCAATATTTTATTGTCAAATTATTTATCGCTAGTTTTGTTAAAAGAAAATTATGTGTAATTGTGGTAAATAAAGGCTTTTTATGTATTTTTTCAGGGAGGTTATTTGTCCCTTACTACTCCTATTTGTAGTCCTTGTTGCCCAGCAATGCTCTGCAATGAAGGTACATTTTAAATGAAATTTGGATAATTGTGTCAATGTTTTTACGTAAGATTTGTATTTTTTACGTTAATTTTATCGTTGAACGAAGAGTTCATCAAAGTTAGTGCTTGCATGCTGTAATTTAGAAGTTATTAGAAAAGAAAACATGGTTATCGTAAATACTTTTAGGTGATCCAGGGATATGCAGTAGAGATATTTGCAGATGTATTTAGCAATGAAAAAAGCGGAGTCAAAGAAGGACAGTCTGTAGACACGGTACTTGAAATATCAGTCAATACTTTTCTTTCTTTACCAGTCCCAATTAAGTTTCCGACAAACTTAAGAAAATTCATATTCATGCAATAACATGAGAATTCAGCAAAACTTGATTCCAATTTTTTATTCACATTCATATACAGCCCTTCAATATACTCTTTTTCTAAACTATTCGATGATGGTTTTGTCAAAAAGAAATTACCTTGTTTATATTAGGATGCTTACTGGTCGGCTGTTATCATGGGTTCTGTCAGATTAGGTGAACCCTGTTAAACATTTATAATTTTTTAGGTTTTTTTCTTGTAAAAGGAATTTTATTAAATAAAATAAAATAAAATACTTTATAATCATGTTAAAAAATTCAATAAATCCTAAGAGAATTTTTCTCGTAAATACTAATCTTTTTTACTAAAAAGAATTTAATATCATTGAAACAATATTGATGGATTTTTTTTGTTTGCTTCAGTTGCAACTCTTTTAGCGGCTAAGTACATTAGAAACTTTGGACGGAAAACGATGTATTTCCTCTCAGCATTTCTAACCATAGTGTTCGAGATTGCTTTTGGTTTTATAGACTTCTTTAACCTCGGAGCTAGGTGAATATACAAATCTTTGTCTTTTATACATTATTGATCAACACTTTCTTGAATTAGTGGATTTGGAATGGATAGATAACAGTATATGATCAATTTAAATTTTATTGGACTGCTCTTACTGAAAAAAACATCAAATAGTGTCTACAGAGAGGGACCGCCCCTTTCCGCTCAAATTCTGAACGAAAAATCGACTTTTTCTCCGGCCACAGTTGTCTTTGAAAAGTAAGACTATTACCAATCAACAGTGAATAGGCTGTTTAGTTTACCCTGAAATTACCAAAATAAGTGAACGGTCCCTTTAAATAATAAGTTTCTTCTGAAAACCATATATTCTGGTGAAATTTCACAAACGAATTTAGGCTATTATTCAAAGGAAATACACCGTAAAAACGTCGCATTGGTATAAAATGAATCCTAAAAATGTTCTCTAAAACACTGCACTCTCGATTAAAATACGTTACCTAGCCGGTCACTCCATTTAATTCAATTTATTGATCACTCTTGAAGTATTACTGAACGCACTAAAAAAGTAAAATTAAAGTAGACGTACTGGAAAGGACGCACCATAGTGTGATTTACATTGAAGTGTTCAAACAAGTGTGTAGCTTTATGTGAATAGATTACATATTTACATTTTACAGTACTGAGAAGTCATAATTCATTTCACACAATAGAATGTACATTGCATAAGTAATAAGTAATTAGATTTGTGTGCTTTTCTTTTTAGTTAATAAAGGTTACTTGATACAGTATTGGTCATATTATTCCAACTTTGATATTAAAATGGTTAATATTTTGGAATGTTTCGTATATTTATATTTTAATCCGGGCAATGAATTTTTAATAATCCGAGAACAGTAATTTTCTGAACTTTGTAAACATAAAGTTGATTTTGTTTTCTTCAGATTTAAGGCTTTACCGATAATCATCATTTCATGTCAAGTCTTCTCTCTTCAACTTGGAGTTCAAACCTTTCCTAACCTACTTTCAGCAGAACTGTTTCCCAACGATGCAAGGTCAGTGTAATCTTGATAACAAAAACCTTATGGAAAGAAAGTAAATAGCAAAGTACAAAATAATACAAATGTATATTAACCGAGTTGACGTACAAGAGTAAATATCCAAAATTCCAAAAAGCCATCTTTTATAAGTTAAAAGTTATTAATTGTTTACAATTAAAACTGCTTTACATGGAAGTTAAGGAAATTTTACTTTACCAAGGGTTTCCAAGACCAATTCTACCCGTTTTATGACCAATATTACCGACCTATGCTTCCCCTTACAGAGGTAGGTTAAGTTACTTAACGTCCCTTGTGACAATAAAGTAAAATAACCACCTGCTTCTGTGATGCTTACGTGAAAAAAATCGGGCGTTTTTATCTCAAAAGACGATAAAATTGTGTACAACTACTTTTTCAGGAAATTATATTTTTTTACTTAACAACGGGTTCCCTGGACCAATTTTGCCTGAACAGGTTTACATGATTCCTGTAATATTTATTATCTCTTAAAATACTTTTTTGACCAGTTAATATTTGACATCTATCGTCTAAAGATTTCAATTCTAATCGTACTGAGAAAACCTCATGTTCAATCCTTTATAAGAGGTTCAGTTAATATTTGACATCTATCGTCTAAAGATTTCAATTCTAATCGTACTGAGAAAACCTCATATTCAATCCTTTATAAGAGGTTCAGTTAATATTTGACATCTATCGTCTAAAGATTTCAATTGTAATCGTACTGAGAAAACCTCATATTCATTCCTTTATAAGAGGTTCAGTTAATATTTGACATCTATCGTCTAAAGATTTCAATTCTAATCGTACTGAGAAAACCTCATGTTCATGTTTATACAGCAAAACTTCACTGTCCAAATTGTTCCTAAATATCCGTATATAGAATGAAAACGATAAAAATAAATATTGTTCATATCTAAATATTGATTAACAAAGGTTACTAATCATTCAGAAGTACGTAAAGACATAAAAACAAATAATAGAGCCACCATAACATTCCATTTATCAAACATTGTATGTGACAATGTAATAACCTTTTGCAGGAGCAGCAGGTTGCATTATAATTTTCTTGGTTTTAATTCTTCTGTTATTTAAAAAGCTTGTTAAAATTGTGTAACTTCTAAAGACTTAATCTTAATCATATTTATCTAAGTTTCGTTGACAAATCTTCTTTAATCGGGATTTGAAAAACATCAAATATCAGTTTTCTGTAAATACAAAATTTGGCTAAATATTTTCAGAGCTCGCTGCAAAGGATTGGTTAGAGCAGTTTCATCTCTGATGTCATTTGCCATGCTAAAGATTTTTCCTTATCTAGGTAAAGAAAAACAAATTTTCCCCCTATATTAATTACTCAAAAATTTTAAAATTCAACGCACTTCACTATGATAACAAAGTCCTAGTTTTTTTATTTGAGACTCTCATTTTACATTTGAGCTATTTTATTTTTGTATTGTAAGTTGCAATTATTGAAGTTATTGAGCCAAGAAGTAAGTTACAAAGATTGTCCTTTAAAACATATATCATAATTAAAAACTCCTTTAATATTGTGTTTCAGTAAGTTTATGCCATTTTTATGTCATTTATTTTGAAAGTGAAAATTTTCCTTAGTGCAAAAAATAATCCAAATACCAAACCATGATTCCATTCCATAATTTTTTTAATTAATACTTAAGATATGACTATGAAGTGTATAGCTTAGGTATTACTGGTAAATTGCAGGATCACTTCTTCTTTGAAAGTTTGAAAATCTATCCAGAAGTCTATGAATATGTTTAACTCTAGCTATGAATGTCCTGAAAGGCTGGATTTTATGAGAAAATAATCTGAAACAGTGTCTACATATCCCATAAATATACTTAATTGTAGAAACCCATTTCGGCCTTCATGGAAGCTTCTGGACGTTGGCCGCCATCTTGATTCTCTCTCTTCCAGTTATCTTTATTTTTGTCCCAGAACCCAAGGTAGAAAACCACAGATTACACATTCTTTAATATTGAAGGGGCCATTACAGGTCCCAACCGGGTATAAGGCCCATTTCTATAAATGGACACGAATTGAATGGGATTTTAGGATCCCAACCCATATCGAGAGCAATAGTCGGGAGTAAAGTGGACAACATTAGCCATTTTTATTTTTTTTTAAATCAAAATTGTAATAAGAAATCTTTTTATATCAAAAACTTTAACCGTTTTCCATTTTCATGTACATCAATAAAATAAACATAATTAGGCTCTGGATAAATACTCTGAAGAGAGAATACAAGATGAGAAGAATACCAATTATTTCGAAAATGTCAACAAAAAAATGTTGGGGGCGAACTGTTACCCGCGCTTAAAAGGGATATTTTGGAGTTTGCGAGATCAGGGATTAGTTCGAAAATGAAATCAAGAATCATCAAAAACTAATTTTCACACTTTATTATCAAGTTCAAGTTGATTTTTTTTGTTTTAATTAAAAACATTTCCAATTTAAATAAAAACATGATACAATTGTTTCTACTCGACTTATATCGAAAGATATATATATGCTCTTTAAAAAGATAACTTTACAGTTTTGGGCTTGGCACATTTCTAACACTCACTGTTGAAAATGGGCAAATCGTGGTTTGGAACTAATTTAACTTGTATTAGTTGTTCATGTGTTATCTGTTTACATAACTTATTAATGATTATAGTCAAAATTAATTGTTCTATTGAATATACCAAAAAATAATAAAAAGATTGTCTGAAGAAATGTATATTCTGATAAAAAATGCTATCTTTATTGATTTTTCTTTTAGGATATCTCCTTGGATGAAGTAGGACAGTTCTTTCTCCCTGCCAAGACAATCTTTTATTCGCATATACTCTCATCAGAAGAAATAGTGGTAATTACAAGAGTAAAAGAACATTGAAAAGTGCAGATTTAACATTAATCCGTTAACCGTCTAGTTTTAACATCTTAGTTTTAAATAAAGGAATTCTTACGATATGTAGCAGTTGTTATCAGAAATCCATAAGGAGAGATCCTCTTGTTTTATTCTTCTCAAATGTATATGGTTAGGGTTACTAAACAATAAAGGTAAACCCAATGTTTTGTTTTGAAAGGAACTGAATTTTTGACACAAACTAGAATTTTCCAATCCCTATATCTTTGCAACCTGATGGTGTGAACTTTTGATATTTCAAACTTAGATTATTCGGTCTAACATAGTTCATAGTTTGAAATATCTAATGTCCAACGATATAAGGATTAGAAAATCAGAGTTTGTGGCAATACTTATATCTAAACCTCATTTATTTTCTGATGTGAGTCAATTCTGTACCACTCCCTTTTCTCGATACTTGCAGTAAGCAAGCTACAATTGTGATTTTTGCAATCAACTAATATACATGGTAGCAGTGACTTAAAGTGAAAGAAAGAAAATATTTAAATTTAATTTGTAAATTTTAAACTATTCTTATAAAGGAGGGAAAATATCTCCTTTTAGATGGGGGGGGGGGGGGACACATTGTTTATAACCCCACCTTATTGTTGCCTTAGCCCAATAATTACATATTGTATATAAATAAACACCTGAATACATAAACGTTCATGCACTGTTTAAATATTTAAAATTTAGACACCAACTCCGGAGGAGAGCTTTGGTCGAATCCGAATGATTGAAAACTGTTTTGGAAGCGCTGGAAGGAGAATACAAGCAGATCATAGAATACTGTTAGGTAACCAGATATGAATACTGTTAGGTAACCAGATATGAATACTGTTAGGTAACCAGATATGAATAATATGAATACTGTTAGGTAACCAGATATAAATACTGTTAGGTAACAGATATAAATACTGTTAGGTAACCAGATATAAATACTGTTAGGTAACCAGATATAAATAATATGAACTTATCCGTAGAAATATAATTTGACACAGAGTTTATTTATATCAGTGGTTGAATAACTATTATCTTAATCACCTTACATCAATCTTAATAATATGTTGACAATCAGAGCTGAACAAACTTAAGAAAAATACGAAATTTAATTTATCCTTATTTCTCATTTTCAACAATTCACGTAGTTGTATATGGTGGCAATTGGAATGAACTTCATACATAGTCAAACACCATGATGTGGTATGACTCATGCAGTCAGTTTTAATTTAATCTAATAAAATATGAAACGTTTTATAGAGGACTCAAATACCTTGTCAAATTCCATTCTGGCATTAGTTGATTTTGTCATTAACAATCTTCTCTTAATAGCGGAGGGTATGCTGAGTAAAAAGAGTCATGGGAAAACAAGAAGACGACATTTCTTTCTTTTTAATGACATCCTGATGTGGGGATCCGTCCTGAGGTAAAACTAATATTTGTTTTGTGCTACATATTCAGGGTCGTATACAGAATTTCTCCATTCACGCCTTGGAGACTGGGGAGAATTGTGGTATTTGTATATGTATTTTCAAAATGTATTTGTAATGCATGCTTCAAAAAAGCAATTAGTATTGAATGAAAAATGCTTTAATGATAAAACCTTTTTTACGACAGAAATAGTGCTTGACTAATGTAACATTAAATAAAGTCATGTATGCAACGTACAAGAGTCATAATTATAATAAAATATAGTGTCTCGGGGGGAAAAGTGATTATTCATTATAAAATTGACTAGAATTGCGTATTCCAACAATGTATAGAATTATATGTTTGGCATTCAGAATAGGTTGCAGGAAGAGAATGATTAATCTAATTTTGCCAAGTAAGAGTACAAAAGTCAAGTTTGCACTTTATTATACAACATCATGTTTGTGCAGGGAAAATCTTAACTTGATCAGACAAAAAATAGAAAAGCTTGAGAATATCCAAGTAGAGGATATCAAGGGTTCTATAGCATGGAGGATTATTACGCCAGGTAAACTTTTAACTCGTAGAAAAATTAGGAATATTCGAACTGCCTCTATACTCTTGTCACGTACGTAAATCCTACATAAAGGGTCGTAGACATATATTTATTTAAGTAACCCCCCTTTTTAAAGTGGTATGTTGGATTTAAAACAGTACCTTCAATACCTTTATCTAAGAAACAATGGTTTTCTCGCTGAAAATCTTTTATTCTCTCATATACATCATACAACCAGGTTTCTTTATTCTCTCATATACATCATACAACCAGGTTTCTTTATTCTCTCATATACATCATACAACCAGGTTTCTTTATTCTCTCAGATACATCATACAACCAGGTTTCTTTATTCTCTCATATACATCATACAACCAGGTTTCTTTATTCTCTCATATACATCATATAACCATGTTTCTTTGTTCTCTCATATACATCATACATAAAATTTAAAAAATCTGCAAGTCAGTTTGACTTTGATAAAGAACAGCAATTAAAAAATATTAGATTTTAAGATGGAAAAGGAGATTTAAAGGTTAAAAGGGTGCCATTGTGAATTGGACTTATAGGCGTACCAACACTTGAAATTAAATCTACAGTCTCTTTAAAACGCAAGAATCACACTAGCTGTGCCAAGGGCGTCCACAGAAATAAATCTAGAAGGGAGGGGAGGAGCGAAATATGCGGGAAGCGCAAAATTTTTTTCCCCACCCCCCTAGGAGGTTTCCCCGGGGAAAAATTTTAGTGCAAATTCAAAACATTTGGCTTCTTGGATACTTTAAAGGGACACATACAGTCTGATTACCATGCAAATAATACTTTATCTCTCCTTCAAACAAAACTAGCAGAAAAAAAAACAGCAAACTAACTTTTTTATTCCCTTCACTCTTCAGATTCAGATTTGAGTTTGGGGAAGTTTTTCACATTATTTTTTCTTCAACAGAATTTAAAGCAGGGTTAAATAAAGTTTTACCTGGTTTTAAACTTTTGGACGGTTCCCCGTGGCTAGAATATTTTATAGGAACCTAAAATACGGCGACTCAGGCAAGGTTGTCAATTGCTTAAAAAAGCTTCAATTCTAGTGGTTTTCAAAGTTGGTTACAAATAAAAAATTTGAGAAAATAGCTTGATATTGGTTTATAAATAGGTAAAACTTTTCTGCTTGAAGCTACCTGTGAAGCGGAAAAACTTCAATGGATGATGTTGATTCACTACGCCAAGTTGGGTCGAGAGAAAACTGCATCTACGCAAACATCATCAATAGCGGATACCCCCAAAAAAATCCTTAAGGAAAGATGGTTTCTTTATCTTATTAAAAATTAAAGTAATTTGACAGCAATTTTTGTTTATATTTTGGTCTAATACAATCGGATACAATAATCAACCAGGGGCGTAATGTCGTACTGGTGGGCGGGGCGGGCCGACAAACCTGCGTAACTGGCTAGAGATGCCCCCCCCCCTTCCCTAGAGGCCTAATATATTAAACTTACATATTCTTGTCTTATAATTGACAGTTGGTCCATTTTATGATAATTTCTCAAATTCTTTCTAAGACCAATTGATCTTATTATTGGGGGTTTATTCAAAATCCATATCTGAGTTTAAGATGTTTAACCCAGAGTTAAGGAGAGCATTATTAAATTATGTAAAGTCAATTACACGTTATTGTTATAAATGCATCAAAATGATTTTTTGCTTTTCTGTATAAGTATAAACTTTAATCTTTAGGAAGACCCTGTGATTCACTACGCAAATATTGCGACCAATACTTCAAATCTAGCAGTGAATCAACTATACCAAATGTATGAAAACGAATCAATCAAGAAAATATCGAAGAAATAGTAGATTTATTCATTAGTTTCTTATATGATGAATATTGATTTTACAGTCATGAAATTCTTTAAATTTAAGATTTTATTCGAATTTTATAATTTTAAAATAAAAGTTTTATTCCGCCTGGAATAGTCCGTATATAGTAAATTATAAAATTAAAAAAATAGTTTTTTTCCTCTCATATTTCAGTAAGTTGCATCTTATGCATGTGCTTGATGTTCATTTATAAATTACGCTTGAAAGTAATTATTTAAAATCTCTTTAAGAGGAAATGGGGAAAGATTAGATCTCAAATTCAAGTACGCTTCAAGGCTAGGCTTTTCATCATTTTAAATCATGAATTTAAAACTTATACGTTTAAAGATCAAATCTTAAAATTAATTTAATGGTTTAATAATTTGATACTTAAGCAGATCTTATTGTTTTATGTACAAACATTACAGTGATTATTGTTGAATAATGATAAATTTAAAAATTATTGAATACTGTTACATATTAAAAATATTCCTGTTACATATTAAAAATATTCCTGTTACATATTAAAAATATTCCTGTTACATATTAAAAATATTCCTGTTACTCTAAATGTCACAAATAAATTCAAATACCAAAGACGACTTTCAAGTCGTCTTCCTATTGTCATGTTTCGTGGGACACCCTGTATTAAAAATATTCCTGTTACATATTAAAAATATTCCTGCTGGCGCGTTAAATCAAACAAGTTGGCCAGCATTTTTTTATCTTTCCTGACTGGGTAAAAAATCGCAAATGCATTTTTAGATTTTTAGAAATTAATTCAGATTCGATATTATACAAAAAACATATAACATAACATTTGTCGATGATAATTTTTAAAGTAAAATATTTGCGATGAACATTTAACTTTCATCCATCACAATAACTTAATCAAATCCGTGCCATACCATGTGTCATTTTATACTTTTTGTCGTGGATAATTATTGTTAAACAATCAGTTCTAAACATGAATTTCTAAGTTGCAAATGATTTGATTTAACAGTTCACTTGTATACTGCAGAATCAATTGATGCATTTTCATCACTTTTTTAACTTTTATTTCTCAAGTTAAGTAAATTTTCAAATAAATGTTTTACTTGATATTAATATGCTAAAATGTTGTATAATCTAACAATTGTGATTGTGGTTATTTGAACTCATCTGTTTTCATTTTCTAACATTTTCAACATTTGCTATTGTTTATGAAATATATGCGATAATGGCTTTTTGTACATAATTTAAATTCACAAGACTATATGTATAGCGGAGAGACGAGAAATATTTTATAGTTTTGCTAGTCAATTTACAAAAACGAATAAATTGAACTGTGATTTATAATTAAACTAGGCTTATAGGGCGCGCCTCTTTCCTTATATAATTTTAGATTTTTACTGTTGCTCTGAAAGTCGGCCATTTTAGATCATTTTTTAAGATTTTGGCGGATTTTCCTTAAAAAAATTGTCGCATAAATCGAACTATTTTCCTGGAATTTTTTCTCTTTAATTTTTTATGTTCCATAATCCTTTCCTGTGGACAATGAGGTCCCGCACAAAATTTGGGCCCGATAACGGACAGGCAAACAGAAACACAGACAATCAAAGTATATATATAGACTTTCAGGCATCTTATATTTCAACTTTTTATTGCGGCTTTATCTGTGAGCATCTTCTCTTTTTACAGTATAAAATTTGTTAACTAAAATAAAAAACTTTTAAACACAAATTTTTGAAATTTTGATCATTCCTATAAATTTTCCCTAGGGTCACGTGAGGTCCCACACAACATTTAGGCTCGATCAGTTCAGCTGTTTGGATGTTTATTGGATGCAAACAGTCACAGACATTTAGACAGACAAGCAAAGTATAAATATATAGATGAACGAGAGAGAAGCATTTAAACTTGGGCTGTACTATTTTAATCACTTTCCAAGGCCACCTAAGTATCTTGAATCAGGAAAGGATAAGTATACTTCCAACAAAATGTTATAAAATTAAAACATCTTAAATGCAAATCAATCATGCGCAAATTGAGCTCAAAAGGCCGAACAGCCATTGCGCAATAAACATGCTTGCTGCTCGATTTGCATCAAAAAAAATTGATTTTACCTTTTTAAAGCACGAATCAAAATGGGCATTTTAATTCCATATACACTGAAAAACTTTATTTGAAAAAAGTTTAGTATGAGGGTGTCCCACTAAACATTAAACAAATTCAAAATCAAATATTGTCATTCAGGCGCGCAACTATACATTCAGCCAGGGGGAAAAGGGCAAATAGTTTGCCCCCCCCTAAACATTTTTAGTGGGGGGGGGGGGTGCAAATGAAAAAACTACTTTACCAATTCAGGATATTCTGGGAGGAAATTTTTTTATTTTGGGACTTTTTTTTCAGTTTGTGTGGGAAAAATCTTAAATCTATATTTCAGACCATGTATCTCCACGCGGTGAAATGAAAACTGTCCCAAGTTTTGATTGCCATCCCTCGGATGGAATAATTAATATCAAATCTCAATTTTCACTGAAAATTTTCCGTCCTGTACAATGGCCTCGTTTTTGATAAAAAAAAAGCGAGCTGCATTTTGATCTCTGAAAATTATAAACCCCCAAATTCTAGATTAAACTCCTTATAGATTCTTTGGAATGATATAATGACCCCCCCCCCATACTCAGTAAACCCATTGTATACGCTTTTTTAAAAATAACTAAAAGTTCAATTGATTCTATCTTCGAGAGGAGTTAGGTTCATGAGCAACACTTTAAGGAATTGAATAAACTTTCCATTATTTTGCAATTATTCAAATTCCAAGTCTCATGGATAAATATTTGAAATCCATTGTCATATTTTCTGAGTTTTATGTTTTATAAAATACAAAATGTAGTTCATAGATATCGTTTTACAGATTGTGTATCACTATGATCAAAAATGTTCGCAAAACTTTTCTAAGGGTACTTCTAGAAGTCTTAGCTCTAATTTTTTAAAAATTCACTATATTTATACTAGATACATTGGTTAGGTTGGCGTCAAGTAAATTGTTGTTATGATGTAAGGAGTGTTCTCCTGAAGGTGGATTTGCTTCGTTGTCACAATCTATAGGAATATCTAGAATATTGACCTGAGAAAGAGGTCACTTCGAGGGCTTGGTTACACAAAAATGTTTTTATTAGATGATGCAAAAACCAAACAGAACCCTTAAACATGATTCAGGACCATTTTAAAACTATTTTACGAACTTTGATGGTGGTTTAATGGGGTTAGGAAGAAAACAATTAATATTTGAAGAATTAAGCCATGTCCGGGTAGTAGAAGACCTTAAAGACCCCAAAAATGGTAAAAAATATTGAACAATTTTCAAACCATATTAGCAAGGGTTCAAGAAGTATGTTTGCCAGACAGCCTGAATATGCTAATACAAATTGATTAAATTCATACATACAATGCTCAACCTTTATTTCTTTTGATCGGTCTTAAAGGATTTAAAACAGACTCTAATGGATCAAGTGTGAGACCATTCTGAAAATTTTCTTGCTCTGACGAACAAAGCTGATTACTTTCAGGAGAACGGTCCTTACATTTCAACAGAAGATCTGATTAACATCAACTGATCTAAAAAATAATTCGGTATAAATATGGTGAACTTTAAAAAAAAAATCGAGGGCTGAGACTTCTACAAGTACCCACAATATTTTTTATCGAAATTTATTGATCAAACCTCGTGCAATGTCTTTTCTATAGAGCAAAGGTAGGGGTGGATGGTGTGAGCCGCCCCTGAAGTTTAGAGTTTTAGCTATAAAATACGAAAATTTCCTGTTTTCGGTTAATCACAAGAACCTGAGGCCGAATTTAAAGAATTTAAGCCGCGGTTTAAATTTAAGCCGTCGCTCAAATATGGTTGGTTCCAGTTAACTTTGTATTAAATTTTTCAAGATTTAAGCGGGCGGTCAATTAAAACCGGTTTTAGGGGGATTTAAGACGTGGCTTAAATTCATTCAATTCGGACAAAGGATTCGTTAATGACCTGAAACTCTTTTAAACCCATATATAAATAAATAAATAAAGGTAATTTGATAAATTTTACTAAATAAAAACTGTACAGTCGTCTCTGAAGTTTCATTCTTTACGGTCAACCCTGGAACAAAATTGTAAGATTTTAAGCTTGAATCATGTCTAAATCAATTGAAATTAAAATCGTGTCTTAGTGTATATTATATTTTTTATTCCGTGGTACATACTTGATTTGAATAGAGGAGAGCTTCATAAGAAATGAATAAAAATAAACGGAAAAATTACCTCCTTTACTAGTCTAGACTGTAATAAATTTAGCCTTTTTATAAATAAAAAACATGATTAATAATTTTTGTTTCTTACTCAACACTCAGGACAATAATCACTCCACCGGATGGATTGTAATTAAAGCTCAGTATACTAATTACTCCATCGGAGGGATGGTAATTATAATTCAGAACACAATTTATTCCAAAAGATATCATAAATACTCCATGGATGGTATTTAACACTCAGGACACTGATTACTCGACCGGAGGGATGGTAATTACACTTCAGGACACTAATTACTTCATTGCCCGGAAGGATGGTAATAATAACTATCAGCAAAATAATTACTCCATCAAAGAGATGGTAATTAACACTTAGACTAATAATTAATCCACCAAATGGAGGATAATTAACACTTAGTACACTAATTACTCATTCGCCGGGAAGGATTGTAATTAACTCTCAGAACACTAATTACTCCACCGGACTCAGAACAATAATTACTTCATTGGATGGATATGGTTATTAACACTCAGGACACCAATTACTCTACTATAGGGTTGTTAATTAGCACTCAGGACACTAATACATCCACTAGAGGGATGTTAATTAACACTCAGGACACTAATTACTCCATCAAAGGGACGTTAATTACCACTCAGGACACTAATTACTCGACCATCAGAGGGATGGTAATTGACACACATAAACACTAATTGTCCCACCGGAGGGATGGTAATAAATATTCCATCAGAGGGATGGTATTTGAAACTCAGACCACTTATTACTCCACCAAAGGGATGATAATTTAAACTTGTTACCATCCCTCCGGAGGGACAACTAGGGGTTTAAATGTTAATCACCATCCCTCCGATGGAGTATAAATTAGTATCCTTAATATTAATTACAATCCCTCCGGTGGAGTAATTATTGTCCTGAGTGTAAATTACCATTACCCGTAATTATACATTGAAACAAAAATGTGCATTTCCCTCCGGTGGCCCTCGCTCCAGCGGAGGTACCTGAATTTTCTGCTGCAAACTTCAATCTCTCATATAAACCCATATTTTAAACTCTGATTTCTGTCAGATCATTTGAGTTTAAATTTTAAATATTTGCACTAATAATTGATCGGACTATAAACGTACATTCCTAATAACGTTCATTCTCACTATAGTGCGACAAATGAACGAAATAATGTTCAATCGAATTAAAATCTAAAATTTCGCCATTGCCCATATAAAATATTATTAGTACAAATGAACAAAAAAATGTTCAATCGAACTAAAATTTAATATTTCACCAATTGCCCATAAAATATTATTTATTAGTACAAATGAACAAAATAATGTTCAATCGAACTAAAATCTAGAATTTCACCAATTTCCCACAAAATATTATTAGTACAAATGAACAAAAAAATGTTCAATCAAACTAAAATCTAAAATTTGTTTGTTTGAACTATTATTTTGATGTTCATTTGCGTTAATATTTTCAGAAAAAAAAATTAGTCCCTGTGAACATCTTTGTTGGAGATGTTCATTTGCGCTATAACGTTCAATTGCACCAATATTTGCAAAAGAAAAAAAATAGTGCGTGTTGGAAGAGTTTGAACAAATATTTTTAGTATATAATTCCAGATTATTTGTACTAAAATATTTCTGACGGGAAAATAAAAATTTAGTCCAATTGAACACAGTAAGCTCGAATTTGTCCAGTTGCACTATGTTTCATCGTACTACAAACCGGTTACTAATCAGCTGAATTTAGTGCAAATGTACGTTAGTTCAATCGGACATCAGTGCAAACGATATAGCATCTTTCATTGGTTGAAAATATTTAGCAAATTTGAGTTTGTGTTTGGTTCCCTTCGATTTTAGAGAAAGACCGAGGCTCTCTTAAGGCATCATCATTAGCTATTTTTGTCTCATATCACATGAAAATCTTTTATCTTATAATTTATTTGGGGTTGTTGCATGTATGGATGCCAATCGACAACCTTATCGTAATGTCAAGACATATCTCTAGACTCTTTCGGTTTCATTTAATATTTTTTAGTAGATATTTTCGGTTAGATATAATAGATATAAAGGCCAGATGTTCCGGAACGTTTCTCCATCTCTGCACTATCTCCTGCCTTGAAGGATACATAAATTTCAGTTCCTGTTTACAAATAAAGAATTTCTTCCGTTCTCATATATAATCTTACCAGTCCTTGTAAATCAATATACAGGGTTATCCACAAAGGAAGAGACTGTAAATATGACGATTTTAAGGCTAAATCAAATAGATTATCAAGTACAATAAGTGGCAACAGAGATATGGATCTATTATACACGACGTCACAAGTGTCAAATATAACAAGAAAAACGAAATTTTTTTCACATCATTTGACACGTTTTTCAAGATTAAAAAAAAGTGAAAAAAAAAAACAGAAATTAAATAAGACACTAAATGGCACCTTTTTCAATGTAAGATAAGCTCTTTATTCTAAAATTATCACTATTATTAATAAACAAAAACTAAGTTGACACTTATGACGTAAGAATACAACTGTACTGAGTGTACAAATACTACGTTGCCATCTATTTTACAGGGTGTCCCACGAAACATGACAGTATGCAGGACGACTTGAATGTCGTCTTGATTTTTGATATAATTTGCTGCGTTTATTTGTCAACCTAATTTTAGAAGTAAATTTCTAGAGATAATAATCACAAAATTTCCGTTGTCCTGCCATTTCCAAAATGTGGTCTGCCATTTTTGTGCTTTCAAAATTGCCCGAGATATGAAGAATTTCGTTCAGATTTCGACAATTTTGCTTTTATTTAACAAAATTGAAATCTGAACCAAACTCTTTATATCTCCGGTAATATTGAAAGCACAAAAAACGCAGACCACTTTTTGGAAATGCCAGGGCTAGGAGAATTATGTGATAATTGTTTCAAGAATCATACATGTTAAAGTAGATAGAAGACTAAATGTCACAAATAAATTCAAATACCAAAGACGACTTTCAAGTCGTCTTGCTATTGTCATGTTTCGTGGGACACCCTGTACTTTACAATCTATTTGGGCTAAATATAGTCTTCTGCCATGAATTTAGTCTTTTAATATGATTAAGCAAAGACATAAACAAGTTTACAGTCGCAGGGAATCATAAATGTAAGGAAACAGATATGGTATAATTCCGTACAGTCGTCTCTGAAGTCTCATCCTTTGTGGGTAACCCTAAATACTTTACAGTTAATACAGTACATGGTGTCCTGATAAACAAGACGGTCATGAGAGACGACTTGGTCCGTCAAAAGTTAAATTCTAGAAACCATCATTCATTACCGGAGAAATAAAGAATTTGGTTCAGATCAAAAAAAAATGGTTTTAATTTAATAAATTGAAATCTGGGTAATATTGATAGCACAGTGAAGGGAACCACATTGTGGAAAATGCCAGGACTCAGGTAAGTTTGTGAATAAGAATCATACATAAAAAAGTAGGTCGACGAATTAATATCCAAAAATTATTTCAAAGATCACAGACGATCTTCAAGTCCTTTCTCCGCTCTCGACTATCATGTTGCGTGGGACACCCTATAATGTTATTGAATCAGAATATATTTTAAACTCAGTTAAAGATGAGATACTGTTTTCATTTAAAAAAAAGATAAACATTTAACTTAAATTTTAAATTTAATAAAAAGATACGAGTTCTTGCCACAAACTCGAATTTTCTATATTTTTTCAATTAATTATATTGATATTTTAGATTTTGATTTTTTTATCGGGGGAAGGCAGGCGGCCATGAGCCACGACTATTTCCCCTTCCGTGCCACATATAAGCTTTTTTCTCTTTCGGCAACCATGAGCCACCACTATTTCCCCTTCCGTACCACTACATTTGACTCTTCCGGGCAAAACTACTTTTTTTAATGGTATATTTAGGGCCTTTAAAGTGTGATCATAAAAAATCCAGCCGCGTCACGCAAAAAAGCACAACTCAAACCATTTTTTCAATTCTACTTAAGATTAATATTTTGTGTGTTGAATTCTTTAACTGTTTAACAATGAAATTTTTGAAAAATTTGACTGAGTATTGCATCTTGAAATATCACAAAGTCTAATGATTATTCAATTACTGACTCATTATACTAAATCCATCTTAAAATCACTCATTAACCAACTTGTGACTCATGGCTGCCGGAAGAGAAAAAAGCTAATATGTGGTACGGAAGGGGAAATAGTGGTGGCTCATGGCCGCCTGCCTTCCCCCGCTCACAGGAATCGTTGTTTAATAAACGTCCAAGCTTGTGGCCAACAACTAAGTTCCTTATTGTATGATAAAAAAATTAAAATGCTTAAGTACATCGCGACGCCATTGGGGAACCGAGTTAGCCTTTACTTAAATGAATTAAAGGGATGGTACAGGCGTAATTTTAAGTTGCCCTCCATTGGTCGAGTGGCGTGTCCGTTTTACAACAGTAGCTTATGGCTAGGGATGTCCATATTTTCTTTCAGGGTCGAAATTTGGCATAGCGTGAGAAAAATAATTGATTTTAAAATTGTGTATTTTAAACATTTTTTCTCTCACATACCAAATTTTGACACTGACCCAGGACATATAGGCAAAAAATGACCCAAAAACGAACGTCCGTTTTTAGGGATGGAAATTATTATTTTTTAAAAATTTTATTTTATGAACAAAAACGATCCAAAACGAAATTAACAACACTGCAATTAGCTCCATTTCCGAAAATATTCCGTGATTTTATTGTTTTGTGTAGAAAACATGAGCTGTGAAAAAACTTCCTCGTTTCACGATTTTTATTGCCTATCGAGTGTAGAACCCAAATAAAATAAGACACCCCCCCCCCTCCCAGGGTGGCCGATTGAAAAATCCTCATCATCTGATTCATAGTTTCCAAGCTGCCAAATCACCTGAAAAAAAAAAACTAAAAAGGACTCGCACTAAAATTAATTATAGCTAATTTAGCTAATAGGAATCCTCAAATCTACGCTTTCAGAGGAAAAGTCCCCAATACAATGTTGGCCAACCTACACCCCCCCCCCTCTCAGTACAATTGCACTGAAGAAATATCCCTAAATCTAGATCAAAAAAGTTGTCTGTAAAGCGACCTTAAACTTCAACCAAAACCACAACACAGACATCAGTTCAATTTATTTTCCCATTTCCTGTCAACGTTACGTTACAATTAATAATTTTAATAATATTTTAAGATTCTTGAAAAACGCTTTCGACATAATAATAAAAATAAAATAACAGCACATATCATTCTTCAGAACAAAGAATATGGTTTCTTATATTATTGTCGTACAAATGAATCACATTACACTAACAAATATTTAAATTGTAAGAAATTCGACATAGTTTTTCAATTTTGATAGTACCAGAATTCCTTAATTTAATAATAATTGATAATATAAGAAAGCAATAAAAAGTCGTTGCACAAAAATTGATATTGTAATGTCATTAAGTTAAATGTCAGACAAATTTTTTTAAAATATGTATATTATATGTTTAATGGAATCATGCGAAACTAAATAAATCGCCAAAATTTAGTAAGAGTTGAACAGAAGTTTTGCCTTATGAAAGAAATTCTACTTAAAATTGCATAATTTTAGTTTTGAAGAGTATCATTAAAGCGATTCTCAAGTCGGGCAATTCTTAATTTCATTGTGAAAATCTTATTTTTTTACAAGACTAAATTTTAACAAACCTTGAATGGTTAAATACGATGTTAAAACGAAGTCCACCACTATTTGTAAGAATCTGATTTTTTTAATGTTATGTGCAAGAGTTGATTGTTTTTGTTGTTGTTGAAAATCAGAGTTGAGATGGAAGCTCTTGTCTTGAACTTTCAACAATATAGTCTTTTGTTTCCACCACAGACGGATCCACTATGGGAATAGCAGCCTTAGGTCGTTTAGATACCGGTCTTTGAGGAAGAATGTTTTGTGCTGTAGGGTTGAAGTATGTAACACCTCCACGAACAGCAGCAAATCCATCTGGACCAGGTTGCGCGGCTGCTAGCATTACGGCGTCAGGTCCGTTAGCGAAACCAGGACCAATTATTTGAGGCCCACCATTGGAGGTCATAGCAGGGATAGTAGCCAATGGCACTCCACCTACCCCCATGGGAAGAGATACAGCTGAGACGGTGACAGGGACCGGGTATTGAGGATTAAAGTTCATAATCTGAGATGTTTGAATATATGCTGCTGGAACGGGTCTTACCCCTGAGTGTGAAACTATATTGTTATGTGGTAACCGCTGGGAGGGTATCTGAGATTGGAAGGGAGCTCCACTGGGAGGACCGGAGCACATGGCTGGATTAATTCCTTCATTTAGCATCTCCTGAAGGTTTTGTTGTTCAGAACTTAAAGACTGAACTTCAATTCCTCCCTTGCGCTGATGCGAATATCTTTTGCTACCTCGGGGAACACTATTTTCATTTTCCTTGTTTATATCAAGATTTGCGACCTGATCTCCTAATTCCTCTGTTCTAGGAGTTAGACCTGGGTCCTTTATGTGTCTTCTTCCCTGCTTTTGTTCCATTCCGTCGAAACCACGACTTCCCCTGCCTCTTGATCTACCCCCGCGCCCTCCACGGTATTCATCCTCATAACCTCTATCATCATGTCCACCGTGTCTATCATTGTATCGCTTCCTATCCTCGTATCCTCCCCTTCCAAAGCCTACAGGCCGACCCCGATCTGCACCTCTACCTCGGTCTCCTCCTCTCCTAGACTGCTCATAACCTCCTCCTCGCATTCCTCTACCTCCCCTCCCTCTCGATCTCATGCCATCATCATTTCCACGGCCTCGCCTATCATGCCTGAAACCATCTTCTCTGTCTGCACTCGCTCTAGGTACATCACGAACAACTGCTGGCTTCAACTCGGAATTCAGACTTTCACTTTTTATGGACGACTTATTAGGTTTATCATTTTCATCTCTGCTTGGCAAAGCAGGAAAGTCTTCTAACTGGTCATTCCCAGATTTATCTTTTGAACCAGGATTTCTCGGCTTCTGTCCCGCAACTGGTTTAGAATATGCATCTTCATCCTCCCAGTTCCTGGTGTACTTATTAGGTCCTCTGCCGTAGCGCCTTCTTCTTCGGGCTCTTGGAGCATTATCTTCGTTTCTTATATCATAGCCATAAGATTCAACCAATTCGTCTTTAGATTTAGGTTCCTGATCAAACTCAGCAAACTTGTCGTGGCCCCATCTTTCAACAACGTCAGCTTTCCAAATCTTCTTTTTATCTTCCGGAGTTTCTTCTACATTATCCTCTTCATCTGTACCAAGTCTAAAACATAAAAATAAAATCTTTAACTTTTCAAGATATCTATAAATATCCCTATGTAAGGGAATTTTCAGGGGCGTCAATAAGTATCTTAAAGTCATTTACAAAATAACTTGAAACACTTGTTTTACATATTTTTCCTTTTTTAAAATATCTATTTTGCAAAAAAATTATTTAAATTTTAATTTTTTTTCTATTAAATGTTTTTAATCATACAAAGTCAAATTTTTGCAAAAAAATATTTTTAAAAAAAATTTGTCTTTCTTTCAGTTTAAACTTAAACTGATTTGCACAATAACTTGACGTTGTATGATTAAAAACATTTAATAGAAAAAAATTAACATTTTAATCGATCTAAATAAAAATAAAAATGTTTCATTTTAAATAATATGTAAATCTCGAAAGGTCATAAGAATAAAAAATTGGAAATGCTTTGTTTAATTCTTAGGGGGGGGGGGGGCACATTTTATATGCCCACCCTCCCCCGAGATATTGGTTTAGTCCGACCCTGAACTAGAAACTAAGTGTAGAGTTATTTTAATCTCGGTTAAGAATCTTTAATTATTTTTCATGGTAAGATTATAATATTCCGTTCCTAATTCTTAATTTAAGAACGTTTTTTCCGCTGCATTATTATTAATGGTAAAAACTTCAATAAATTTTTTGAAACTTTGTAATTATTAAGAAACGTTACGGATGTAATGTAGATAATTTCCTGGATACCCGCACCCGCCCCCACCCCCTTTCAGAAAATAAACATCTTTTTCAGTCTTAATATTCATTAGGAAAATATCAATTAAAAAACGTTTTCTTGAAATTTGTATCTGGAACAATAAAATAATATATCCTTAATATATTATTATTCACATAAGTATCTAACGTCTTAATCATAATAATGTTTTTTTTAATCTATTTTTTGCGTAAAAACTTGCCTGTTATCATGCTCGTAAAACATTCCTTTTTTAGGAATATACTGGGGATTCTTTTTATCCTCGTCATCATCTACTGGTGTTTGGGATCCTTCTACATTATCATCCTCTCTGACTACTTCAGGAAAAGGTTCCTCGCCACCTCCATCCTCCTCATCGTTCTCACCGTCATAGTCTAAATCCTCTTCTACAACGTCAAGGTCTACATCTACGTTCTCTTCTTCATCCTCATCATCCTCTACATCCTCCACTTTACCAACATGCTTCGGACTGTTAACAATGTTGTCATCGGCACTTTCATATTCAGAATCCCCGTGCTCAGTTGCCAGGGCCTAAATTCAAATAAAAATTTCAATTTGAGAAAAGTTATCAAAAATGATTCAAGATACATTTGAGAGAAAGTGAGTAACCTCGTTTAACAAGGTTAACAAAATCCCCAATTTGATATATTATTATTAATATTAAACAGAACTTCTGGGGGATTTATATGGATATAAAAATCCTAATGAGAAGCTGATATGTCCCGCAACATACATTTTGTGCCACAATAAAATAACTGAGGATAATTAACAGTATAGGTGATCATACAGTTGAGATGGAGAGGGGGGGAGGGTGTGTTAATTAGGATTTCCGAAAATTACAAAAATTTACTTTTATACTTTACAAATAACTTCAAAAATTTTAAAAAACTTTAGGTTAAAAGATAATAGTCACAATAATCCGCGAAAATAGGTAATTTCCTAAAGAACGATTTCTGGACCCNGAAAAGTTTTAGTTAAAAATCAATTTTTAATTTTGGAAATTGTCTTTCAACAAATTATTTGTTTAAAATATTTTTCATAAAGCTCTGCACAATGGCAGTTTATAAACGGAGTTTTCACTTGTTATTCCAGAATTATAATAAATAAACCTTGAAGATATTTTAGTTCTCTAGGACGTACCCCGAAAATATCACTATAAATCTGTCTCAATTTAAGCTAACAAATTTAGTGATTTGCAAAACAGTAATTAACAAAACTTAGCCTAAGCTGCGGTGTCCGGAAAACGCAAATAACTCATAAGTAGATGGTCACATTATTTAAAATACATTAGACGCCTACCAGAACAATAAAGGAAATAAAATACTAAATGCAGTTGACTGAATATTGGTACCTTTGTATCAGGTTCAGTCTCAGATAGATCAGATCCCTCAGATTCTTCTCCAACACCTTTCCTTCGCCTTCGTTTATCGGACATATTTCTGAAATTAAACATCAATGAAGACAACAAAAAGTAAAAACTACCGCAAGTTGCCAGGTTCTAACATGTTTTTTTTTAAGGGGGAAGTGCCAAGTAATAAAAGAGAAATTACCCTTTTATAAATTTTAAATATGCTTACAAACGTCCTAATTATGTTCTTGCCTTAAATCGTTCAGTACCTCTTATATCTTAATGAGGAATCCTCGCCACCACCTAAATTGAGCTAAATTGGGGTATAGCGGGTCTGTCCTATTGAACGATTTTTNGTTATTTAAAATTATTTAGGGTTAGGTTAGGTTAAGACACTTTCTGGTCCGAGCACTGAGGCTTGGAAAGTCTGGCGGGCCGAGCGCTGCAGGAACGGGTTAGGTTAAGACACTTTCTATGTACAAATTTTATCGAAGGGGGGGGGGGGTGTTGTTCAAAAATCGTTCTCTAGGAATAAACCCTAAATTGTCAATTCACGATTATTTTCTTCTCACGATGACATTGTTTAAAATTGAAAAACTGAAGGTTGCTGATTCATTAAAGATCGCGAGTGAAATAGTGCTGACATTGGTTTGCACTGGACTTTACCAATAGAACACGGGTAGTAGGTCTATTTAGTAATGAATAGAAAAAATTTAATTATTGTATTAAGCATTAAATAACATACATTGCATCGTTTTATTGACACGCCCGGTTTCTCCACAATTTTTCGGAATCACAACACCAAAATAAAATGGCCGACATGTGTACAGTGTACTCTTCAGGGAGGGGAGGAAGGCCAGCAACAACAATTTCTAGTCCGAGCCACATTCTCCAAATTTTTTCGTTCGAGCCACCTCTAAATCCTCGTCCTTCCAATATTATATTTGAAAAGTGTCTAGTCCTCCAAGATAAAACAATATTTTATGAATCGGGCCACGTTAGGGCATAAATGAAATATTGAATTATAGTAAAAAGAAAAAAATAGTTTCAATTGAATTAAAGTTTTCGAGTACTATTTCCTTAAAAATGTTCACCATTTTTACATGCATTTTCAGATATTCCTGGTGTAGAATGCCGAAAATAATTCCAAGATTATAGAACTTTAATCTTTTTTCTTAATAAAAGTGAAACCATGAGATTTTTTTTCCGTGTGCTTCCATGGGGAAAATGATAGGTATAGGTATGCCAAGGTTTAAAAACTTTTCAACACATAATAAGCGAAGGACGAGGGTTTCGGACGAGAAAATGGAGAATGTGGCTCAGACGAGAAATTGTTGTAGCTGGCCTTCCTCCCCTCCTTAGGGGACAGCTTACTATTTCGTGATATATGTCGTCTTCTTATGGCCGCGATTTCTTAGACGATTTACCATAGGTAGAACCTTAGATGGTGTATTTTTGGACCTACGCCATCCCCTCTACTGCCCATCCGACCTACAAGCACGTGGTTTTAACAGCTGTGGTAGGTCCGATGCACTGTAGGTCAGATGGGCAACTAGCATATTGGTGCATCCGACCTATACTTTAAGCTGTCGCTTGGACACGTTAGTACGTCTGATGGGCCTTTTTTGTAGGCCGGATGAGCATTTTTCGTAGGTCGGATGGGCATTTTTCGTAGGTCCGATGGGCATTTTTCGTAGGTCGGATGGCATTTTTCGTAGGTCGGATGGGCACTTTTCGTATAGGTCGGATGGGCATCTTTCGTAGGTCGAGATGGGCATTTTTCGTAGGTCGGATGGGCAATTTTCATAGGTCGGATGGGCACTTTTCGTAGGTCGGATGGGCATTTTTCGTTGGTCTACAGCTGTCGTAAGTCAGATGTTGCAGTAGGTCGGATGGGCAGTATAGCGGATGGGCAATAGGACGGATGGGCAGTAGAGCGGATCAACATTACCAGAACCTTAGTCAAACTATAGGTTACGCTTTATACCAGAAATTGGTGGATGTTTGAACAACGTACATTTAATAAAAGTCACCTGATCGAAACAGGTATTACGATTGAACATTATACAGGGTGTCCCAAAAAACATGGGAATTCAGTGACGAATTCGATATCGTCTTTTCAAATAATTCTGTGATTTAGTATAGTGATACCTACTGAGAAAGCTGCAATCTGTAAGAGTTTCGTCTGTTATGTTTACATTTTGTTTGTTTATTTTTTGACTGCAACCGGTTGTACTTAGTAAAACAAGAAAATTACAGTAAACAAAAAATCAATTTTGTACATGACCAAAATAGTAGTTATTTAAAATTATTTAGGGTTAGGTTAGGTTAAGACACTTTCTGGTCCGAGCGCTGCGGCTAGGACAGGCTAGGGGGCC